TAAGTTATATGTATATTAGAATTAAAATATTATGAAGAGATAACCTATCTCTTTTATTTTTCTCGTAAAGGAGCTAAAGTAATTTTTAAATAATGTTTTTTTTTTTCTTTTGTGTTTTTCTTAATATTTTGATTGTTATATATATATATAAATCATCTATATATATATATATATGTATGTATGTATGTATGTATGTATACATGCATACATACATATATACATATTTACATACCTATATACATATACATACTACATTACCTATGCTTTAAAAGTTGCATGTTACTTTTTTTTTTTAATGTGGTATAAAAAATTTAGGTGGTAGAAATGCAAAAATTAAGATGTTAAGTGAATTATAAAAGCATGATTAATAGAATCATATATCTTAATTTTTAAAAAAATGTAATAAAAATCCATTTATTTTTTTCCTTTGATATTACATAAATCATCTCAATTGATCAAAGTTCTTAATCCATTTATAATTTTTAAATAATTTGATTTGTCTTTTTAATCATCCTAATTTGAATGTAAAATTCAATTAACATTTAATAAATGTCCACAGTCAAACATAATCATCGCTATGCTTAAAATTCTATATTATCATTAAATTAGCATCAATACATTTTATCATTTGACAAGAATCTTGAGAGGATTGACAAAAATTTAAAGATAATTTTTTAAATAGAAAGCATGCAAACTTCAATTAATAATCATTCAATATGATTTTAAACTGACCGGCTCGACAAAACGAACGCATTGACACCAATGTCTGTCTAGTCCGAGAAAAATCAGGCCTACATAAAGTCTTAAAGTCTTTTTTAGAAGCCACTCCTAGTGTCTAATTAGAAGTTCAAATGAATACTAAATGTTTTAAGATTATATAACTGAATCGTGCAGAGTAACGACCATCCTATAGAGTAACACACCGTGAAGATGTTGTAACAATGCATCCCGAAAATAGTGTAACAACACCCTAAAGATAATGCAACGAGTAACCCACATACAATGCATCAACACACCTCAAATATAGTGTAACAATGCACCGCGAAGACGGTGTAATAATGTGCCCTAAAGATGGTGTAACAATGCACCTCAAATACAATTCATTATTCAACGACGTGCCCCACATATGGTTTTATGATGCCTTCCAAAAATGATGTAATAATGTGCCCTACAATAACAGCTTACAACCACCGTACTCAAGATACAATAACATTTTTCTGACACTTGAAGCTCTCTCCTTATAGGCCACTATTATGACCTACATACAAACTATGTCTATGTGGTCCACAACTTTTGTAGCTCTCAACTCTGGTATTTATGGCTTACAAACTTTATCACAGCTCATGCAACTCATAACTACGACCTCTGTAATCTATGAACGTTATCGTAGCTCATATAGCTTGCAACTACAACATCTGTAGCCAAATTCGTTATCACAACTCATGCAGCTCCCGATTCCAACCTCTGTGGACGTTACCACAACTCATGTAGCTCCTAACACCGATCTTTATGACTTACAAACATTATTACAGTCAATGCAACTCTCAACACCGGTCTATGTGTCCTACATATGTTATTACAGCTCTTTGTTGCGACCTATGTGACCAACTACGAGTTATGCTGCTTAAAACTCATGTAGCTCCCAACTCCGACCTCTACGTCATACGGACATTATTGTAGCTCACTACTACGGTTTCTATGGCCAACCAACGCTTTTGAAACAATCAGCCATGACCCACACGACCCAACTACTGCCATGACTTTGAACTGCGACCTCTATAACAAGCTAGTGCTACAGCCATCGGTTGCAACATTCACGAAAGAATATTGCATCGATAAAATTCGACTATGACCATCGCAGTCTGCGATCACCATTATCACCAAGAACTACAACCAGATAGATTACAACTATTATGGATGAATTAAAATTATACATTTACAATGATCAAATTTGTAACCATATTTTCCCTAATCCAGTATAAGAGTGAAGCTATGTACTTACAATCACATATTGAATTATTTCAACTAGGCTATGCCTCACAGGTTTTTCTCCTTCCTAGAAGTTTTCCACATAAAAATCGAACTGTCTCCTCCTGTTTACTTCTGTTTACATGATTGTGCGTTGAATTTTCATGCAACACTAAATAATCACTCTACCGGCACAGATATATTGATGCGCATCAATAGCACTTTTAATTTAATGATATATATGTTTCATTCTAAAATAAATTCAATAACTGCATAGTTCTATGAATTAAATTTTGATCAATAAAATGTAGGAAGATCTACATATGCATAACTCCAACCGCAAACGCGATCATGGAGGATGGAGTGAAGAATGCACAGATGAATGCCTGAACCAGCTGAAAATGGCTCTGTGGAATCTAATCTGAAGCTGTTAATGAAAAGATTAAAGGAAACGAATAGGCTGAGGATGCGTTGAAATCTCGCATCTCATTTTGTAGACATTTTAAATCAAAAGCTACACATCTCCTATACTTTCAGATTTTGTTTTTTAAATTTATGTAAGTGGAATGTGCGTAAACTTTATATTATGTGATCTTATGGAACTAGTTATGAATTCGCAGTTCTATTTTATGGATGACAATTTTATTTTGTTCAGAAAAACTAGCATAAATATATTGCGTGCAGTCTTGGATGGCTCACCGTGCGATACAAGACGGCCAGCCGTGCGATACAAGACGGCCAGCCGTGCGATACAAGACGGCCAGCCGTGCGATACAAGACGGCCAGCCGTGCGATACAAGACGGCCAGCCGTGCGATACAAGACGGCATGGCCGTATCCGAATCGTCGTCCAGATGGACAGTCCCACCGCACATAAGGCCTAGGATTTGAGCTTTATGAAGAAAAGATATAAGCAAATGTTTTGTACATGGATTGATGATATTCCTAACTCATGTATTCAAAGAGAAATTAAAAAAAATGATCTTGGTGGAACAAAATTCAAAGAAATAGATAAAACAACAAAAACAACGAAACAGATAAGAAATGTGCAACGTCTAAAAGACC